ATATATATATATATATATATATATATATATATATATATATATATATATATATATATATATATATATATATATATATATATATATATATATATATATATATATATATATATATATATATATTACTTCATTCATTTTCCTTTGGCTTAGTCCCTTATTTATCAAGGGTCCCCACAGTGGAATGAACCAGCAACTATTTATTATTTTAAATGTTTTACATAGTGGTTGCCCTTCCAGCCGCAACCCTGTACTGGGAAACACCCAAACACACTCATACACTACAGGCAAATTGGTTAATCAATTCCCCTATAACCTATATGTGTTTGGACTGTGGGGAAAAGCGGATCACTCTGGAATAAAGGGACTAGCCAAAGGAAAATGAATGAATGATTAAGTCTATCCAGCAAAAATAATGAACATTAGTGTAATTAAGGAAATGAATGATGTGAAAGCGTCACCTCCGTCACAGCGGGCCCGTTGAGTCCGAATCGGTCGGCGATCATCATGTGGATCTGCCGCTGTCGGTCTTTTTTGCGTACGCTTTCATATGAGGGTAAACGAGGGAGACCCGGATCCAGAGAGGACAGATAATAGCTGCTGGGCACACCGATGAGGAACAGAGAGCCCGACTGAAACACAACACATACAGTTGACATATTTGAGTTCGTTAAATATTTCCCAAATGACGTTGAACAGATTCAGGTTTTTGTTTTACAGTATTTCCTGTAATATTTGTTCTTCTGGAGAAAGTCTTATTTGTTTTATTTCGGCTAGAATAAAAGCAGTTTTTAATTGTTTTAAACTCATTTTAAGGTCAATATTATTAGCCTCGCAATATTTGTTTTGGATTGTCTCCAGAACAAACCACTGTTATACAATGACCTGCCTAATCACCCTAACTTTACCCTAATTACCCTAGTGAAGCCTTTAAATGTCACTTCAAGCTGAATACTAGTGTCTTGAAGAATATCTAGTCTAATATTATGTGCTGTCATCATGACAAAGAGAAAAGAAATCAGTTATTAGACATGAGTTATTAAAACTTTTGTGTTTAGACATTTTTTAATCTCTGCCCTGTCAACTTTTGATGTTGAAATATCAACTCTACAGGTAAACAAAGTGGGGTTTATTCACATTTTAGTGGCTTGAAATAATATAATGTACAATAACTAGAGAACTAAGTGTGTTAAATAGCAGAAAATATACAATGTATTTGTAATATACAACACCAACTTAAACTATTAAAATGTCAATAAAACTCCCTTTTCTGAACTCTTCAATGTTAAAAGTTGTTGAAAGAAAGATCAAAATCCTATAATGCAGTTCAAATGCATAACTAAATTGGGAAAACATCTCAAACTACGGAAAACTCCTAATTTAGGGTTATTTTTTTTGCATGAAGTCAGATTCAACAAGCCGATAGCTCATGCAGATTGAAAGGTGAGAAGATGATGGCTGATTATTAATGACTTCAGGCCAATCAGGCTCCTGTGTGAATGCCGGCTCAGCAGAACTCCCATGTGAAAGTGCTTACCTGAGCAGTAATGTTATCGTGACCCGCGTCATGATTCTGCTCCACATCAGACGACGTGACCAGAGTCTGTCTGCTGCTGTAGTACTGAGGAGGAGATTCCTGATCAACACACACACACACACACACACACACACACACACACACATGAAGAGCTCTGTTAACATGACAACCTGTGACATCATCAATGACTATGAAGTTTTTTCACAAGACAGTGATCGACAGGGTGCCGGGTGTTTCCAGAGTGTATGGTAGTGGGACAGTAAATTTGACACTGTTCGCTCTTCTGGCTGCATCGAGACGACGACACGGTTTGTTTGTTCATCCATGGCTCGTTATTATATTCCATGTAGTATTTCCATGTAAGGTCTCGGCTTTGTATTAAAAAAAAACATGGCGGTTCCTTTGTTTACGTTCTGTGTAGCTCCACGAACTCGTGACGTATCTCTAACCAATCAGCGTTCAGCTGCACGTGTAGCTCCACCTTTTGGTACCCTTTCTCCCGTTTGGTACCCTTTTGAAAGGGTGCCGAAAAAGTGGTACGGTTTGGTTCGGTATGCTTTTTGACAGTGGAAACGGCCATAATAGCGCACCAAATCGTACCGTACCGTACCTCTCAGTGGAAATGGGCCATTAGGTACTGACCAGGCTCAGCCCTGCTCAGCTTCAGTGAGTAACCGGTTTTGGCCTGCAGGGTGATACGGCTGTGGCTAAGGTTGAAGTTTAAAAGTTGTGTGCATACACTTTTTATGCATATTTTCAAAATTTATGCGCATCTTGCTGTTGATATCGGCAGTGATATCCGTGTGATATTTTGGTTAAAGCATGTGGCCGCGTTGGCTTTTCTTTTCTAGTTTGATTTTTAAACCACTATCGATCAGGTTTACAGAAGGTGGGTCATTTTAGGTAAGCTGATATACTATGCGCATGCGGAAGAAAAGTGCGTTAATATTCGCAGTAATAAACACAGCTCCCTCTGGTGGATTTACGAAAAATGGCACGTATGAGAAACCAGTAACGTATCTGAGATCATCAAAAATGCACATGGCGCCCTCTAGTGGATTTGTGAAAACAAAACTGCAAGAAGACTATTTCGCAGTTCTTGATAATGTATCCCTGGGCACACACACAAATTCCCTTTAAGGCAAGTATTTTCACCCATCTTTGAAACACCTCTCTGTTTGGATAGAGAACATCAAATTCTCCAGAACTGTTTGCCTGGCTCACGATTAAATTTTACATTAGGAATCACCAATAAAATAAACAACAGCTGTCTCTTTAGCTTCATTTCTATACGTTTTAATCACACAAAATCTGCCAAAACATAAGTCTGGACCAAGCCCCTCCCCCCGAAAATCGCCAGTCTATAGCGATCGCTGATTGGCTCCTGTACCAGTGGGCGGGGCTTCATTTACTATATTGATCCTTCAACCCAAGCTCATTCTGAAAACGCAGTCCCGTGGACGTTTCTGGAGACGGCGGAATACGTCCCGGGGGTACGTACGGCCCAAAAAAATTTAAAAATTAAAAAATTTAAAATTTTTAAAAATTATTTTTTTTCAAGCTAACGCTGCGGGGCGTTGTGACGCTGTTCCCTTTTGCGCTTGCCTTACCTCCTTGTGGAGGGCTTCCCCGCTGTAACCCGTTTGTCTAGTCAGCTCACCGTGTACGTCGGCAGGCTCGAGATGCAGAGAGGAGTCGACCACGGCGACCGGTTTTGAGTCTGGGGAAGAGCGGTTCCAGCAATCAGGTAAGACAAAAACAGAATCCCAAAAATTAAGTGAACGAGTTTCGTGACAGAGTGAGAAGGCAGCGAAATCCGAAAACGCGGTAGAAAAAAAAAATCGGGGCTTTGAATTTTTTGGACGGCTTTTTGTAAACTGTCGCTCGGGTTTAGGGAAGCGAGCCACACTTGCGAGCGGCGTATGAGGTGCGAAAAACCGCACAACAGCGGCCTCTTGCGGATTGAAAAAACAAAAACTGCAGCCGTACGCACCCGCCGGGACGTATTCCGCGGTCTCCAGAAACGTCCGCGGGACTACGTTTCCACAATGAGCCTGGGTTGTGATCGTTACTTTTCCCCATTCAAAACTATAGGAGTGACACGTCTTGTGTATTCTAGAGTCTTTGGCATGCATCCACCAATGCACCTGGGTTGATTTGTAGTGGCCTTTCAGTAGTACTTGTGCCAGTAAATAGCCTTTCCAGGAGTTTGTTATTTTGTTTGTCAAATATTCATGATGTAATTCACACGTGTGATGTCATCGTTTTCACTACATCATACTTCTGACATCATGAGACGATAATGGTGTAGTTTTCCGAAATGACCGTGTTTTTCATCCTGACTGCATGTCAGGCGACCAGCCAGCTTGATTTAAAGCCTCACACCCTCCTCTATTGTCGGTGTAATGTCTCTCCTCCTCTTCCTACTCCAGAGTGTCCTCGGGATGGTCGTAAATTACGCCGCTGAAGGGAAGACCACCAAGGCCACTTCCTCCGTGATCTGCCCACCCGTGCAGCTCTAGATTGGGCAGGCGGAGAGGAATTCCTGACACTCACTGATCACCCTCACCTAAATAGAGGGCTTTGTGTCCCGGGACAATGAGAAGTCTTCCTGCGTCATCAGAGTGCCGAGGATATAAACCCCTTGCTGCTGTTTTAAACGTCTGCCTGTGTTTCACACACTTGTTTCTGTGGCAGGTACTAGTAAACTAGTGCACTGTGTTTTATTGGCCATGTGTCACCCGGACAGCATTACTAGTCATTAGTTCACAAGCTGAACGACACCAGCAGAGAGGGGTCCGAAACTAATCATGGCTTGAGGGAAAATGGACTGTAAGTGATACAATGACCAACAATCAGTGTCTGTTTGCTTCACTTTTTAATGGTATACTTTTATATATATATCATTGTATAACAGTTGTTTGTTCTGTACACAATAAAAAATATACATATTGCTTAAGGGGGCTAATAATATTGACTTAAAAATGGCTTTAAAAAATAAAAACTGCTTTTATTCTAGCCAAAATAAAACAAATAAGAAATTTACCGTTTTGCTTGGTAGCACTGGTGCTCGCAACTTTAAAAAGTTAGGAGCACCAGCCAAAATTTTGTCGCACCCACCAATTATAAACCTCGTTACTACAAGTTTTAATGCTATATCAACCGATTTACTGCATTTGAAATCAACACTAAGCAATCTAACAAGCAAACGACATCTGCATGCGCCCACCGGCCCTGCACGCACTGCTTGACATGAATGAAACTTAGTTGACAATAATAACTTTGCTGTTCTCACGGGTGCTGTCTGATATTGCACAGAGAATACTGACATAAAGCTTATTATTTGCATCCGTTTGTTTTTTTCATGAGCTGCAATATTAGTTTCATCTTAATGAATGCAAGCCTTTTTGCGATGGTGTACGTTACATTTTACATATAGCTGCCACCTGCACAGCTGACAGCATCCTGACGATTAAACGAAGGATTGAACAGAAGCGCTCATGCTTAAAATGTGTAGATTTGGCGAACGCTGTCACCAGCAAACTGTCACCGTCACCCCGGCTTTACGGTAATGCTTTAGTCATTTTTATAGCGGGCTTTAAACACTGGAAGTCTTTTACCCACTCTTCGAAAAGAGTAAACAGTGGATTAACATTCACCACATGATCACTGATCAGATGTGTCATTATTAGTAACTTTAAGTGGTTTCTAAAACTAAACCTGTCAGTGTTGCTTTCATTCTCATCTTCAGAGATTTACATGTTCACGGTTGTAGCTCTCCCTGTCATCTAAAGAAAGGCATCGGCTGAGTTGACAGCTGATACTAACCAATCCGTTTGCATTTAGTTTTAGAGCAGTGGGCCAATCAGAAGAGCTTAAAGGTGGGGGCAAGTAAAGTTGTTTGACAACTGTTTTAAACTATGTATGAGCGCTGCGTTTGGCGTCTCAGGTGTTAAGATGCGTTCTGCGAACATTTGCAGTGAAAACCAGTCATACGGCACCAATTTTAAGAAGTCGCACAAGTATATTTTGAGGTCGCAAAGATAAAGTTTTGGGCGGACATGTGACGGTCGCAATTTCGAGCCCTGTTTATATAGAAAATAATTTATTTCTTTTTCAAATGTATTTATTTTTTGTTTTATTTATTTTACTTAATTTTTGTTGTTATCATTATCATTACTAACATTGCTATGTTTCTCCAAACACTTGT